TAAGATTGAAACAGTTTTGTAAACAACTTTTTATATAATATCATTTCAAAGGTTATAATTCTCGTAATTATTGATAATTTACAAATTCTTTAATACCTGTTAAACACAACACTTTCCTATTATAAGCCTTACTTTTAATTATAATCTATTATATGATTAATATAATTATACAGTGATTTTTCTCTAATTAATTAATAGTTTAAATGTCAATTTAATAATACTAAGAATTGTTTAAATTACTCTCTCTCTCTCTCTCTCTCTCTCTCTCTCTCTCAACAATAAGTTTACTATTGATTTATGCCTTAATTATAATCTAAATATATTTTAAAAGAATTCAAACAATTGATAAAATGTTTTTCATTAAGTGTTTTTCAATGCAATCTTCGGGTCTTTAACTCTATTATCACAGCTTTAATGACAGATCTTAAGACACATCTTAAGAAAGTGATCAAAACAAGCAAATAATAGACAATAACAGTCTCTCTCTCACTAACCAAATGCCAAATACCCCCAAAAGAGATGAAAATATTATTATTGATAAAGAAGTGAACAAAAAATGAAAATCTTAAACAAATTGAATATCAACGCAAAAATGACAATTATATCATGTTTTTCACACACACTGTAAAGATTTCAATTAAATCACAGTCCATACAGACTTGGATGCCATCCAAATATCATATCATTTCATGAAATTATTTTTATAAATATAAAAATATAATATCTTATATGAATTTAATGTATTTTATGCCTATTTTAAAGCACTTTATATCTACAGAATATAAATTGTTTAATACCAGGAATTGTTGGGTATATTATAGTTAGGTATAAAATATTTTGCGTAAATTAGTTTTTAAAATAAATGTTTGTTTAAATCATATTTCAGTATTTCTGCCTTAAATAGCAATTAACTATTTTCAAATTTATTATATTTTATAAATTAAAGTAATTTTATTAAAATATCTATTCCTCTGTATTTGGATTTAAATTAGAATTCTATGTTTATTTAAAATTTAATTTTAAAATCCATAAAATTTAAAATATTATATCGTACATATTCCCAACCATAATGAATCTACTCATACACATGTAACTTATATTCTTTATAATAACATTAATTACGAAATATTATATTGGGACAAGAATTTTTTATATAAAATAATATTTTATGATTTTCTACCAAGCATTTTATTATTTATATTTTTAATATAAATTATATTATGTCTCGTTTTATAATACCTGTGACATTCAAACAAAATATATCAGCAATGACCTTGCTCATTACGTAATCGTTTATGATAATAATTCACGAGTATTTGATTAATTGCTTTGCAAAAACTCTTTTTGTATTAAAGAAAATGAATTTTATTATTATATCTAAAAAGTATAAAAGTATTTAATATAACGAAAAATAAAGGGTTTATTTGTCCGAACGATGACAAATAAAATTACTAAAAATAACATAGTTTTAAATACTATTTTATTTATTTAACCATGTTTTATTGCACTGTTATTTCAAATGTACCATGCATTATAATTTAATGATTAACTTCATGAATATGGTAATAAATATGATAGATTATGAGCAACTTTTGAGAAATAAAATTTAATAAAAATAATACAATTTTAATGTAAAATGTAAAAAATAAATATAATTACAAATGAATGTATGATTTCAATGATATGAATACCTTTCTGTATGGGTTTTATCGTAATGCTTTTTATCATAAGTTTTTCAATATATTATTTAAGTGATTATTCTCGTTATATCACAGGTATATTCAATAATAATAATTAGTTTCCCATAACTACTCCCAAACACATCATATATTAAACTAGAAATGATATTAAAAATGCTTATAATTTAAAAGATAAAAATTATTTTGTTTTTTGATGATTACATAAAACTATTTCTTTTGTTCGCGTATTTAATAATAGTTATAATAATTAATACAAAATTATTACAAAAATTATTTTCAATACTTATAATCGATTTTTCGGAAAATTATAATAAGTCACATGAAAAACATAAATAACATTAAATTACTTGAAAATTTAGTTTTAAACTGAATTAAAAGTAATAAGTAATCAATAATTAATACATTTTCCAATAGTTTATAAGTAGTGCTTGGATTTATCGGGACATTACTTTCCGGGGCTGTGCTCATAGTTGGCCGCCAGATATCCCAGTATTTTCTTTGCCTCCTCGGCCGCCGAGTGGTCCCTATGTTTCCATATGAATACACGGGCTGTTGATAAATAAACATGGTCATTTGTTAGTTCATTGTTATTAAGTGTACGAATTATCAAAATATAATAAAAAGCACAGACTATTAAAATATATGAAATAGTTTTATAGCTATAACCCCAATAAAAGTTATCATGCTTTATAAACCCGGCATAAGTCAATATAATATTACCACTCTAGGTTAATGTTACAACACAATAGCCATAAAAGTAGAAAGGGTTAGTTGCCAAACAAGGTAGTTAAACATAAATATAATTTGACAGATCGAGATTTTAAATACACCACTTGTACTATACCAAGTAACTATGCTAGCACAAATAACAATGTACAATAAACAGTTTAAAACAGTGGAAATCTGGTAAATAATTTAAATCAATATAAAATACCTATATTTTAAACAAAGACAAAAACCTATATTCTAAAGCTAACTGAATAGAAACATGATAAAACATAAATGATATGTATAAACTTACAACGTTTAGTTTTGCGTGGAATCATACGGCGCTCTTCAGTATTGAAATGATTGCTAGCGTACGGCCCGAACACCGGATGGACTTTATTGTTGTCGTACTCATCGTTACTGAAGTAAAAGGGCATAGCGTCCGAACCCAACCATACCATTGCCAATAATAGCACAATCAACGCTGTCTTGTTAACCATGTTTATTGTCTTACAGTTGTGTTTAGTGTCAGGCAAACAAATCGATGTGACTTTTGTGGATCAGTTGCTGTTAGTGTTATATATGTAGCGATTGTGTCGGTCTATGAAGAAACCGATCAATAAGATTATCCAACTCTGGATACCGTTAACCTTAAACTGAGAGCTCAATTGGTTCTCAATGTTTACTTATTTATAGTTAGCGCACAATTCATACGAAAAATTATGGTTTAAACTAATAAATCAAAAGGTAAGATTATCCAACTCTGGATACCGTTAACCTTAAACTGAGAGCTCAATTGGTTCTCAATGTTTACTTATTTATAGTTAGCGCACAATTCATACGAAAAATTATGGTTTAAACTAATAAATCAAAAGGTAAATCAAAAAACTAAAATGTTATTTAACTTTAGACCAATTCTGTGATTTGGATTTAAATGAAACTATAAGTTTGTGTTCACGAGATGCTCACTATTTATACCGTCTTTATAGGCGAGAGAGAGAGAGAGAGAGAATACGAGAACATTATAAAGATAATTATGGGAGGGAAGGAGTGAATGAGAGATGTGTTTACATAAGAGTGGGATTGAAACTCATTTACGTAATTACAGTCGCAAATCGCAAAATACCTTTCCTCTCAGTGTGTGGTAATACAGACTATAGTCGATATAACATAGAGATAACATAGCACTAAGAAAGCGAACTAAAATGCAACCCTTGGTTACTGTTAATGTATAAAATGTATATGATAAAAAGTGCACTAACTTAGTACCCCGATGCTATTGTCACATGTAAAGTACACAATAGGTGTAAAGACCATGAAAGTCCAACTAATATCGACCGTAGATAACCATTTTAATTACAACCTGATTGAGAAACCCTGGTATGGGGTGCCGGTGCCGGAATCGATGTGTCTAAGTCTAAGTTGTCATATTTATTCCGGATATTTATTATTGCATTTTTTTGTTGTTGTGTTTACTTTCGATATTCATATTAATTCAGAACGTGTTTAATATTTATTGCTTTATAAATATAATGTCAGTTATTATGTAATATTGAATGTAAATTCTTGATTACCATTTATTTGATTTTCATTAATGAATTAATGTTAATATTGCTTCGGATTCCGTGTAATTCCTATGATTTGATGTTATATTAAATTATAACAAATATATTAAATATTACATTTATGAATTATTGTCTGGCTCCTATTTTTGTCTACTCTCTCTCTCTCTCTCTCTCTCTCTCTCTCTCCTCTCTCGGATTTCGCTCAAAATATATTAAAATAAAATTCAAATAATAATTTATAAAAAATTTATATTAAAATCGCGTTTTTATTATTATGAATATTTAGTCATGATAACGTATCTCACATACAATGTATAAAGTATTATATTTAATGTTTGAAAATATACTGAATAGCCGACAATATTTGCTATTTTGTGTTAAGAATGTTTAAGCATGTGTAAGCGAACTAACCAAGGTCATTTCTAATTTAAATAATAATGCAAAAGTAACACAATTTATAAAGTACCCTAATTCAAATAATATTAAATATATATTTAATATTAATTTTTAAAATAAAATTCTAATTATACATTTTTAAAAATCAACAACTTTTTAATAAAACACGAGTTAGGCTTAAGGGTTTAATAAAACATACGTAATAAAGTTAGCTAAAACAAATACACGAACGTTTGTACCTAGGTGACTAATTCATTGCCCGTTCATATTGATAAGCCGTATATACTGTACATACCTGACCTATCAGTGGCACGTTTTATCGCTACCCCTCTACTAATACCCGATATCAAAGTCTAAACCCCATCACAAAGTTTATGAAATTAATTTACGGCCAAATTCTTGTGTTGTGTTCAACGGATTGCGATGAAAACCATTCGTGAATTTATCATATTTTTACGATATGTTGTAAAATAATTGTTATAATGTAGATTATTACAATAATATGTGTAATATTAATATAGGTAAATGTGTTTTGGCATTGAAATTGTGTTAGTGAACAGGATCTTTTTGATATAACATATACGTGTTTTTGTAACTAATTTGTAATTAAGGTAAATTAAAACAAATAAATATTGCAATAGCTTTGTGTTGTTCGTGTGTTTTAAGATTATGGTCTATTTGATCTCTCTCTCTCTCTCTCTCTCTCTCTCGCCTATAAAGACGGAAACTTTTTAATAAAACACGAGTTAGGCTTAAGGGTTTAATAAAACATACGTAATAAAGTTAGCTAAAACAAATACACGAACGTTTGTACCTAGGTGACTAATTCATTGCCCGTTCATATTGATAAGCGTATATACTGTACATACCTGGCCTATCAGTGGCACGTTTTATCGCTACCCCTCTACTAATACCCGATACCAAAGTCTAAACCCCATCACAAAGTTTATGAAATTAATTTACGGCCAAATTCTTGTGTTGTGTTCAACGGATTGCGATGAAAACTATCCGTGAATTTACCATATTTTTACGATATGTTGTAAAATAGTTGTTATAATTTAGATAATTACAACAATATGTGTAATATTGATATAGGTAAATGTGTTTTGGCATTGAAATTGTGTTAGTGAACAGGATCTTTTTGATATAACATATACGTGCTTTTGTAGCTAATTTGTAATTAAGGTAAATTAAAACAAATAAATATTGCAATAGCGTTGTGTTGTTCGTGTGTTTCAAGATTATGGTCTATTTGCTCATTCTCTCAGATAAGTTAGTAGATGTGATTTCTGTCGCTTGATTTCAATGAGACATCAAATTTATAATTAAATTAATGTGTTTTTTGAGGCATTATTTCTAATTTAATTAATAATATTCCTGATAATTGTAAATAAAAGAATAAATTCTTTGATAATAGTATGCATTTCACACATCCGGATAATGATTAATAACAATATTATTATATTAATTGTCAAAAATATAATAATCATAAATGTTACCATAAGTTAGAGATTATTACTGTAATGCAATTTACATTATAAATAATTTAGATATTTTAGATTATTAATTATGTTATTTCACAAAATTTATTGCATTCTCTCAGATAAGTTAGTAGATGTGATTTCTGTCGCTTGATTTCAATGAGACATCAAATTTATAATTAAATTAATGTG